AGACAAACTTTGCTAGAGTACAATTTATCAGAGAGTAGCACTGTCCTCCTGTTGTTCATAGATTTGCTCGAGTAGGCAACAGTAACATCTCCATTGTGAGACTTGTTGTTACTGTTTTTGGCATATTGAATATGCTGCGGGGAGCTTGCCAGACTCTGCCATGCGGGGGGATACCCTCGGTAGCTTGCCAAGCTCTCCAAGTGGGAGGGAGGAATCGAACCCAGGTCATCTATGTGCAAGGCAAACACCCTACCCGCTGTACTATAACTCCACCCAACAGAGTACCTAACCAAATATAATGTTTCTTTCCCATGTTGTTAGAGAGCCATAATAAGATGATAGATATATATTAGACATTTCTCATTTAAAACTTTTTCCTCGATAAGATACCACTTCATTTTGCTTTTAATTTGGCCATATGTAGTAAGAAAGGTGTAAGAAGATCTTTGTTTCTGCTTGTAAACAGTAGGTTCCTCATGGCTACTTACGGGTATTCTTTGTAACATGGATCATACACCCAAGGTAATTTATTCAAGAAGAGCCAATGTGCAAGGTTCTTAGCTTTTTGGGTGATAAGGTTAAAAAAATTCAAACACAAGCTGATCAAGAATCAGTTTATTATAAAAAGTTTTAAGAATAATTTTAAATATCATAATAGCATGGTGACAGGAACTGATTTCGTTCCTTCCCTTGGACTATAAAAGATGAAGAGTGATGCCATTGAGGTTTACAATGTTATGAAGAGGGTGATCATGAATGTGCTGGAAATCATTAGGTGATACTTCTTTCTTGCTTTACTGTACCATGTTGATTACTCACTGTCTCTGATGCAGAGTCTAGAAGGACAGACTATACTCTGACCTTACTAAGACAAACATAGATAAATGGAAAAGACAGAGGTTCAACTCTGTTGAGCATGGAGTAGACTCTTCATAAGTAATTGTTATATGGATATTTGGGTTAGGTATGGAGATTGTTAGATAAAATCCTTTGGAGTGTAGTGATTGCTATAATAAAGCAGGATAGCTCTTTTCTAAGAAGAATCACTTGGGCCTTTGCTCTGTGTCTAGTGCGTTGAACTTTAATGAAAAGGTATGACTTTTGAGTTACATCTTGAAGGAATTATACATAGGAGTGTGAGGAATTCAGAATCAGGGGGACTTGCATATAATAGCATGTGCAAAGAGAGGATGGTGAAACAGTGTGTGGGTCGAGAGAACTGGATTTTAGCATAACGAGCATCGTGTTGGAAGAGCAAAACATTACAAAGGTTGTTGGAGGAAAGTCATATATGACCACAAGACAATAATTTGTTCTCATATAGACACTAGTAAACAAAGCAGTGCCTTTAAGAAAATAAATGATATAACATCATATTTACATGATTTTTCCCTGTATTAAATTTTTTATATGTATTCATTTCAATCACACATGTCCTTCTGAGATGGGAATTATGATGAATGCATTTTTAATAGATAAATGAGATACGAGGAAATTAAGAAACATGCAGAGATGATCCAGAAAAAGATTTAGAAGTTTAAGCACTTGCCTGGCAAGAACAAGGTTATGAGTCCAAACTTGTGTGCTGCTAGCAAGTACTGACACAATACTAAAAGCTCTGCTTTTATGAAACCCCAGAAAGAAAGTACAAGATGAGATCTGGAAGATAATTTACTGGCCGAAACAAATGCCTTGAGTATACTATGGTCTGGGGTTCCTGGCCAGGGAAAATGATTAAAAATTAATAATAAAAATAATAGTAATGTCACAAAGCTGAGGTTTGAACCCAGTGATCCAGCTCCAAACCCACAATTCTAGCCAGTTTAGCAGATTGACTCTTAACACAGTGTCAAATGTAATGTAATGTGTGGTTAATAATATTTAAGAATCTGGTAGAGAATTATTTTTGTGATAATGGAACTCTCAATCACTTGCTTTCAGAATTTCTTCTTGAAGGAGAGAAAGACATATAGTGGCAGGCAGCTGGTACACTAGGAATTATGGATAATTTGAGTATGTTCATGAGAATGTTTTATACAAGTGCCATTCTTCCATCCTGAGTATCATTACAGTTAAAAGATTGGAACTGCTGTCAGAGGAGATAAGGAGTCGTTCAAGGAGCAAGGAGACAGCATTGGGGATTTGGGGTTAGAGAACATTAAATACCCTTTTGTTCAGGGAGACTCTGACATTAAAATTTCCCCAAGTGCTATATCAATGTCAGAAATTGTTGATGGTGTTAGTACGAAAGTCATAACTGATGTATCTTTTCATCCAGGAATCTGTCACTTGCATTTCTATAATTCTTGCTTAGATATCAATTAAAGAACTTTCAATGTCTCATCTCTTAACTGTATTGCTATTGGTATACAATGAAAACACACTTGGGGCAGATAATAGCTGCCACAGTAATGTCTTTTCAAGTCATGCAGTCTTCTAAACTCTTTGACAAGTATTGATTCATTTCATTTTCATAACAAATCTATGAGAGAAGTGTCATTAGTTTTATTAGGCAGCAGTGATTCCCAGTGGTACAAAGGAGACTCTGGGAACCGTCCCAGCAATTTTTAGGCAACAGACTGATGGTTCAGTGCAAGAGCCTGAGGATGCGGTGCTGCTGGGGCTCTCAGTGCCAGGGATGATCTGGCCTCAACCCCCCCCCACAGTGCTCAGGTCTCCAGGGTAGTCCCTGTGATTTTGGGGGATGTCAGGAATAAAACTGGGATCAGCTACCTGCAGGGTATACAGTTTACCCCATCTGATCTCTCTAGCCATAAGAAAAGTGCCATTATCACCCTCATTTTTACCCACTTATGGTGAAATTATGGATCTGAAGGTTGATCTGCTCAAGGTCACTGAGAGTTAGAAAATAGGTCTATGTCAAATAGGTGACCGTTTGGATATCTAAGAAGTAACTGATAGTACTGGTAAATTGAAGGTTTTATATGTCATTACCTAGTTTCTCATTCCATTCTTAATTTGTATAAGAAATCCTGCCTCCTAGAGGAAATAATATGATCCCTGTGGCTTCTAGCTCCCTCCCCCCATGAAATAATAATAAGAATTTAAATGCATGCATATCCTAAGGCCTTGAATATATATTTAAGCCCTTATGTGACAAGTAAAGAAGACACACACGAGTTGCAAAAATAAGTAGTGAATGTAGTTAGCATATCTACACAGGTCCTGTCACTCAGACCAATTGTCTTTCCTTGTTCTCTGACATTCCTTGTGGCCTGAGCAGATTTTGCAGAAACTGGATATATCTGCTCATTAGTAACTTTAAATTGGTTTCAAATTTTAGTGCAATTCCAAACAGCAGATATTAAACATCTTTAAATTCAGGAGGAGGAATGCAACTTAATTAGTGCTAGGCGATTCTTTATATTTATATATAAGATATTGTTCTAGGTCATCTATTTTGGCTGATGAGTTTAAGTGATTGTCAAGATGGAGAAGTGTAATCCAAGAGGAAGAAAGAAAGGTGGAAGGGCAGAGGCTGTGAGTGGAGAGGAAATTCCATACAGATAATGAAGTTAGATAAAACATTAAGCATGGGTGATGTCTTTCTACTATTAAAACCTGTCAGTATAAGTCTGTGAGCTCAAGAAGGGTGGCCCCAGTGACCTAATGACCTAAAGCTTATATGGTACACTTGTGTGCTTATCTCCTGGTGTGTTTTTTGTCCTGTTCTCTGAGACCAACCTCTGCACCATAAAGGTTGAAGGTGATAATGCGATTGGCATTAGACATACTGTCTTCTCTTTTTCCATTCAAATGGAAAGATTGGCTCAGGATATGAGTTAATAACAATTTCACAATATAAATAAGTGGTCTCATAGTATATGTTTTGTTCACTAGTGATTAAATGGGCTTTGATTAAAACAAATAAGGAAATCCTTCATTTGCATCACACAAATTGGTAAAAGGTAATTATGTGGACATTTTTATCCAAGGAAAGTCCATCAGATATTTGATTTGTTTGACATTTTGTCAAGAAAATGCTCTATTTCAAACCACAACACCCAAAAGAAGAGAGATAGAGAGAGCAAAAGGGAATGACCTACCACAGAGGCGGGGTGGGGGGGGATGGAGTGGGGGTGGTAGGAGGGATACTAGAACCATTGGTGGTAGAAAATGGGCACTGCTGGTAGAGGAATGGGTACTCGATCATTGTATGACTGAAACACAAGCATGAAAATTTGTAAGTCTGTAACTGTACCTCACGGTGATTCACTAATGAAAAATTTTTTAAAAATAAATAAAATAAAACCTGTCAGTATATAAAGTAAATAAGAGGAGAAGTAAAGTGAGTAGAATTTATGGAAATAGAGGAAATCTTCCAAGAGAAATGGAAATTGAGGCAGGATTACAGGTATTTTTTGTATCCTGCTTTCCTCTTTTTATTACACTTGTCACAGAGAAACTTTTACCATCTGAGCAGAGTTGGTCACTGGCTTAATCACTGCTTTGCCCGTAGAGAGGTTCCAACACTAACCCACAATGATAGACCCTAGGGCATAGAAGACAAAAGCAGACACTTGGAAAAATTAGGCAGGCAAGTACTTCAGAAAGGAGATGGTAGGACTAAGCCAAGACCTGAGAAATGAAACTGGCATAAATCCTGCTATATTTTGAGTAGCTCACACTAGTTTATATTATAAACTAGAGCTTTTGTTTCATGTCACTTTCTCTCTTTTCTTTTCTATTAACTGTCAGGATTGATTATCAACTTGTCTTTATCTGGTTTGCACGTTGCCTAACTTAGATACTCACCAGTTGCTTTCTAATATGCTTCTTAAAATATTTCTTTCTGTATGTGTGCCTGAACATCTTTTCATGTAAAATATATTATGCTATCAGGAATGACCTTGTGTGCCTTAGAATCTTCATGTCTCTTACAATGCACAATATATTTTTATCTACCATTCTTTCTAAGAGTAAAATAAGCCAATGTGCTATCTTACTAAAATTTATCATTGTCTCCTAAACATTTATAGGCAGTGCTGGGACACCTGTGACTTTTAATGAAAATGGAGATGCTCCTGGACGTTACGATATCTTCCAGTATCAAATAACCAACAAAAGTACAGAGTACAAAGTCATCGGGCACTGGACCAACCAGCTGCATCTAAAAGTAAGTATCAATAGAAACATACATTAAAGTAAGCTTGGAAGAAAGCTATAATTTTAAGGGTAGATAAAGTTTTTGTTGGAATAAATTCTTATCTGAGAAATGTTCAGAAATGTATGATTTTATCCTTCTTTCAACTCTAAAAGCTTAGGAAGGCTGTCTTCCCAGTCTGGAGAAGCCTATGGTCTCTCTTGGACACCTTTTCCTCATTTTCTAACCCCTAACTTTCTTCTAAGCAAATTTCATTCAATAAAACTGTTTTCCTTCACTAAAAAATTAAAGTAAATATTATGGAAGGTTATAAATGTCCGTTGAGGAACCTGGTATTCGCAGGAATTTCATTAAAGAGCTAATTTCCTTGTAATTGACCGTGTGCAATAAGGGAAACTTGACCTTTTCTAAAAGGGTTTCTTATTCAAGTCATTGTACACTTTATGTGAGTGTAGTGTGTGTGTGTGTGTGTGTGTGTGTGTGTGTGTGTGTGTGTGTACAGGAGTATTTGGGAGGATAGGTGCCAGAGTGTGCCTTGAATGAATACATTTGAACTTAAAAATAAGTGTAGTTTAACAGCCACCTCATAAATTGAATGGGACCTATTGAAACATCTAGTTGGTGGAAATAAATGATAATCTATATCTTTCCATGGCAACAACGAAATATATGCAGCATATATTGTCTGGATTAATTAACATGCCTCAGCATTGTTCATTGCCCCCTTCTCCTTTGGGTGCTATCTGTAGAACACGGGCCATGGGTGGTGCAGAGAACCTTCAGAAAATCTAATTCAAGTCTGTCAGGAGGACTTTCCTAAGAAAGAGGATCTTTATGGTCTTTGGGAAATACTAGCTGTTACTGGAACCATTATACGGGCACTGGGATAGGAAGCCAGTGCTGATTGTGAAGGATACAGGAAGCTGGGAAGTCACAAGGCCCAGAGCTGGCAATGGGCTGTGTGGGCAGAGTACATAGGCATTGGAGCAGCATCTGCTTACCACTGAGTAAGGAGTCATCTCATATTTATAAGCCTCTGGCGCCATATCGTTTCACACTAGCTGCTTTTAATAGAGGAGTTGGGAGCATGCCCTGTCATCTCAGCTAAGGATAGGAGTTCATTCAAATAGCATCTCTTCCACACTGGAGAGAAAGGACTAGTTACAGAAACTGCTTAGCTCAGGAATCACTGCAAAGTAGTGTTTCCTTTGTACATAGTAAGTTGCATTGAAAAAGCGTAAAATAGGCTGGAAATATTCATCTACTAGTCTAGTATTCCAATGTGCATTTCATGCTTCCCTCTAATGAAAGCATTTCCTTTTCTTGATTCTCAAATCTACCATAACACTGTGAGAATTGAGTTTTGTTCCCAGATGAATAGATAAGTTCATTTCCTAGCTGGAGCTTATCCTAGCTGGAAGGTAAAAGCTTATGTTGAACACAAGGGTGGGAGAGAAAGATCATTCTCGAATGCATGTGTGCAGCATGTGAACCTGTGTTTTCTTGTGTTAGAACCCATGCCAGGTACATCAATTTGGTATTTTCAATGACTTTTTTTTCTCTCCTTTGTGAATAAATTTAGCTTCGTGGAGTGGCATGATTATGCAGCACCAATCACCCAGTTTCTCAGCAAAACAGCAGATGATGACAAATATCAAAATTAGGATATTTATGATTTATTGTCTCCGATATGTCTTTCTGGTTAATCACACTGTGTTAAATTATACACAGAATTTGAATTTGCAGATATTATTGTAGCATGTAAGAACATGTGTTGACACTGTCTTAGGTTGTAGCATTCTGACAGAAATCTTTTCCATTGTTCTGCAGTCCAGGCTAACATCTATTGAAACACAGCTCCGCTAACTAACTCTTCAAGTTATTGACACTCAACTGAAAAATCAGTATCTTTTTGGCAAGAATCTTCTTCAAAGTGGACCTCTGTGAAATAAAATAATAAACATGATAAAAATATTTGATACAGGTTAAAATAGGGAAGCAACTTTTCATCTTTTAGTAATGCCAGAACACCTAGTGTATTCCTTTCATTAAATATTTATGTAACAAAATTCAATAGTTGAAAAATACATGCACTAATATATAAGACAGAAATAACAAATGTAATAATATACAAGTACACAGAAACATACATCTAGGTGAACATTTGTTGTAAAATTTTATATTGAATTTCAAGCAGATCTTTTATGTGCATTGTAATGGTGCATATAAGTTATATGTTTATTATTTTTCTATCACTCATAAAATGAATCAAAGCAATTTATAAGAATTTTTTCTTATACATGATTAGGAGGTGCCTGACAAATTATCAATTTATTAAGCTTCTACTAAGGCAAAAGAGAACAGACTATTTGCCACTGTTTCATTGCCCATAAAATGAAATCGTTAGCATAGTCAACCTCAAATGATTTCAACAGGATTAAGGAAATAATGCAACATATTGTTTAGTCAAGAGGATGGTATATGTGAAATCCATAGAAGTTACTTGTGATTAATCAGTATTTCATGATTTCCTATTGTTGGTGGTTGATTTGAACATAAGAGTATGAAAAACAAGTAAAATTCCTTTTAGAAGAAATGCTTGAATTTGCTTTCAGAACTTTCATTTCTCCACATTAGAGATGTTCACTATTTGACCTATAGCTAATTTTCTGTTTCATCTTTAATGTTGACTAAAATATTCTTAAAAACATCACTTATGAAGTAAACTTTATTTAGATAAATTTGCGATTTACTTCCTAAAGTGGAATGGATCTGATACTTTTATTTTACCTCACATCCTCTGTGTTATGTTGATATGAAATTTGTTACCCTGGCAAAAAAAAAATAACCAAATATTGGATATTCCCTTAAGTCAAATAGCTTAGACCTTAGAATGTAAAGGATCTGCAAAAGTGTACCAAAGAAAATATTAGAAAATATAACAAGCAAAAATGTGCCAGGAAAGAATAGTAGAAACAATTTTACGTCTTTTATCCAGACAGATAAAAGATTAGCTGCTGATTAGCTATGTAAAATGCCCTGGCCTCTAATTTTCATGTACCTATTGAATGTTGATGTGCTTACTAATTGTTCTTAAAGTCTCTACTTTCTTAAAATGAAGATTCATCTCTTGGGAGCCTGAGAGTGGGGTGGAGGAGCAACGCTGTGTGGAATAAATGGTCTGTGAAGCTACTGATGGCTCTAAGGGATACTGAGGAAACCTAAAACTTGGAGAGTCCTCATGTTTGTCTGTCTCCTTAAGTTTGTCTGTCTCTTTCTCTGAGAATGACCTCTGATGGATGGTGGTTGAAGGTGCTGATCTCATTGGCTTTAGACATGTGGGACTAAAGTGAATGCCTGGTGCCCCTCGTAAGATACTCAAACTAGAATGACAGATGTTCAGATCAATAATTCTAATGGATGGATGTACCCATGAAACTCTGCTCATATTTTTTCAATGGCAGCCTAGAGAGGTATTCTTGACCTGGTGTGATTGCTCATATATGGGGCAGGGATTTGTGTTATGGGGCAAAGAAGGTTACTCATGCCCAAATTATTCTTCTCGTCAGTGCTGACCATTTATCAACCAGTGACTGGACTGAATTCTCATTTTCTAAGAACCAGATTTTTTTCTTTCCTTGGCTGAATTCAACTGTATTATAATTTAATATACAGAGAATATAAGAAGTACACATTCTGAAACATAATCATATATGAATGTAATGAATTTTCCCCGAATGCATCTTAGTGAAAGAATTTTGGAAAACAAACTGGTCATCCCTTTATGTTTTCCCCTGAAAATTTTCAGGAAATTTAAGATGATTTATTTCCTCAAAATTATTATCTTTACTGTTCCTCATATTAGTGTTTCTTTTTTCAATGGAGCTAGCATATGTTCTTAATTTAGGCATTGCAATAATTTAGAAGAATTGTTTATTCTCATTTAGACTTCTATTCAGGAATCTCAGTCCACTCATGAAGTGTGTATTGTCTACCAGAGAGTAGCATGAACAATAAGTTGTCTCCATTTTGTTAGGCTAAAGCTCAAGAGGCAGGTGGTCCTTATTAGTGATTACAAAGCATATTGCAACTTGGAGGTTCAGAGTAAACAGCAGAGCTTGAACAGTGAAAAGAACAGCCAGATGCTGCTGCAAATCCACAGAGAAAAGGTGTATTGAGGTTACTGAGTGGATATTGTTCCTGACTTACTTCTTTATACCGACAACAAGAGCTACTTTTGTTTCCTGTTGGTAACAGTAAGAATAGCGTGTCCATGTTTGCTTGTTTTGTTTTTCTGTTTTCTTTCTTGTTATTTTTCAAGATATTGCAGATAAATAAAAATAACCAAGGGTAATGTCTTTCTACTCACTTCTCAGTCATAATTATGTGTGGTATTCTGTAAATTACAAAGATTATTTGAAGGAAAAAAGCATTATAATCCCTAATTTTTTAATTAAAAAAATTAGGACAAAAGTGATAGCACAGTGGATAAGTCACTCACCTTGCATGTAGCTAATCTGAGTTCAATCTTTGGTACTACACATGGTTTCCCAAGCACTCCAGGAATGATCCTGAATGCAGATCCATAATAAGCCCTGATCACAGCTTGATATGGCCCCAAATCTCTCCCAAAATAAATAAAATATTAAAATTGTATCTGGGCAACACGGTTCATAATACCATTGGTGATATAGTGATTGCACTATTTCAACACTACACCTTCTACTAGCATTTCTGTTTCAATTCACCATTTTTTTGGTACATTGACCCTGATTTAAAATTTAGGTGTACCATCCATTTCACATATACCATCCTCTTGACTAAACAATATGTTACATTATTTCATTATTCCTTGTTGTAATCATTTGAGGTTCCATTCATAGAGGAAAGTAGTTCTTGACAAGATACTGAACTCTGAACCTTCTCTATATTATCTTTGAACTGGGGATAAAATATAGACTTACTGCAAAGATTAAATTCTGAGAATATAGGTAAAGAAATTGTCTCAAAGT